TGTATTTTCCACTGCATGCATCTGATGAAGTGGGCTTCAGAAAGACTCTGAGTAAACTTTCATCTTACTTTCAGCTTATGCTCAAATAAATGTGTTAGTCTCTAAGGTGCCACAAGTACTCCTTGTTCTTTTTACCACAAGGATAACACTTATCTGTGCAGGAGATAGAGCTTTCTGGTCGGCCGGTCAGACTGTGGAATTAACTCCTCCGGGAATGAAGGGCCATCACAAACCTCACCACCTTCTCTTTTCAGTGCAACATATACATTTTTAAAAAACAAAACTTTACTAAAACAAAACACTACACTGAACACACAATTCTTCCCCCAGGAAGAAGGAGAGAGAAAGAACAAACCACATGTGACAACTGTTAGTCACATTACTTAATACGCTAGAGAAAGGCACTCAGATACTACAGTAATGATAATGGTACAAGAACCTATGTAAAACAGAATAGATTAGAACAGAATAGAATAAAATAGTTCCCAATCCCAGTTGCTAACAGAAAATTTAGAGATATAACTCATTTTGATAAAACATATCCACCCTAATGATTTTAAAGGTATTTCTAGAATTAGATGGGGCTTTACTAGATGCAATCCAGTTGAAATAACTAAGCATACTGTATTTGTGTGCAGTCAGTTATATATCACTTCTCTTAATAAGTCTGATAAATGAATGAACTTTTCAGAGGACCATCTCTCCTGTTTTAGCATTGACTCAAGAAAGTGAGTTTTATTATGCTGTGGCTATCACCTTTGTAAAATTCCTTATTTAGACTTATATTTTGACAGAAGGAAAAGCTACTAATGGGCCATTAAGTGTTACTTGTGATGGAGGAAAAAATCAGTATTATCTATGTAGATTGTTGTACAGTGTTCTACAGAATATTTGTGGTGAATATAATCTGAATTAAAAAATGTTCTAGTGAGTGATGCTAGTGAATCTGTCACTACAGTACAGTAAAATCTGGATTACATGCACTTCAGTTATCTGAAACTTAGTATTTTCTAAAACAGGGTCATATTCCCAAAGTCCATTAATCACATTCAAATTCTCCTCAGTTATAGAACCTCAATACTCTAATGTATTCACCTGTCCCCCATGACATTTGAATTATCAAGGTTTCACTGTATTTTTGCCTACAGACAATGCAGCTCCCCTCTGTCAATGACAGTCACGATAAGGAAAGGTATATTTAGTATTGGTCATTGAATTATTGAAATGTGTGTGGTTATGAAATATAATTACCAGAGAAACATAGCTGTACCAGAACAGATGTCACTGGTTTGTGTCTAACCTCTGATTTTACTAATACATAAGCATATGACTAACTGTATAGATGTAAGTAGCCCTATCTATTTAAATCAATGGAACCACTCATATACATGAATTTAGGCACAAGCTTCAGTCTTTTTCAGAATCAGGGCCCTTTTTTGGTACCTTGGCTACCACAGTGGCAAGGATTTGATGTTTCAGGGAAAAGTTCACTCAGAGCACTAGCTCAGTTATGCAACAGTGTTCTGTGGGGAAAAAAAACATTGAGAAGATGTTCACTATATCTTCCCTTTTGTGTCTCCCCAAATTACACCTCTACCCCGATATAACGCTGTCCTCAGGAGCCAAAAAATCTTATTGTGTTATACGTGAAACCGTGTTATATCGAACTTGCTTTGATCCGCCGGAGTGCGCAGCCACCCTCCCCCCACCCCCACCCCGGAGCACTGCTTTACCACGTTATGTCCGAATTCATCTTATATCGGGACGCGTTATATCGGGGTAGAGGTGTATTTGCCCAGCATGAGAGTTTATAATCCTTGTGACATTTTGACACTTGCACGTCTGGTTGCAAACATTAAAAGATGTATTGCTTTTTGAATTCCCCCAAACTATTTGCCCATGGCAGGGAATTTCCACAGATTAGTTACACACTGTGTAGGAAAGTATTTCCTTCTATCCATTTTAATTATTTGCCTTTAGAGATCACTTCGTTTATGCATTTACTCAAGGTCTGAAAATGTTCAAACTTGGCAAAGATACCAAGAACTACTTCAGTACAGTCAGAATACACAAAGTGCAGCACAGCACAGTTATCGTCCTAGCTAGACTATACATATATGATACATATGATAAGAAAGAGATATCTAGTTCCCCGGAAGGTTTATGTTTTGTTTTGTTTTATAAAGATTCAAATTCTGACCTTTTTAGGGATGTTTTCATCTCAAGGTAGTTTTCTCTCCCCTTTGTTCTGTGTCCTGCATAGATGGGAACTTTTAAAATGGAGGCTCCTCTGACTCCTTTGCAAACACCTCACAGTGGTGTTTTGCTCTCTTTGCTTCTTTCTAGGGTCCAGGCAGGCAAGATCCAATAAGCTCCAGTACACTTTTGATGGAAAAAAAGGGAGATCTATAGATGGAGTTTCCCTAACACATATGGATGGATCTCAGCCAGGGGAGGAAGGGAGCAAAATGGTACACAGGTAGGTGTAATCTAACCTAGAAGCCCTTTCAACAATCAAGAAAGCATTGCACAGTTCTCGTGCATGCCACCTTCTATATTTCTTCAAACAGAAACTTTGATATGGCAACACACTGGAAGGTAAGAGATTTGGGTTCTCAGCTCTGTTACTTAGTCATTTTGTGACCTTGGGCAAGTCATTCTATCTTTCTGTGACTCATCTGCATAATGAGGACAATCGTATTTAACCACTTTTGTAAAGCACTTTGAGATTAGTGGATGAAAGGCCCTGCACAATTGTGAATTGTTATAGCTTATTGTTATTAATTTGATTTTTCCATTGAAGACAAGGACCACTGAAAGTGCTAACTTGTAGTAATCCATGGAAATACTGTTGTGTCATCTTGGATAATATTAAAGAATAACTCATGGCATGACTTTCTTCACTGAAATTACCAGGAAATCAAACAAGAAAAACTGAGAAAATTGAATGAGTTTTATATTTATAAGAAAAAATGAAGCAAAAGTATAATGCTCATCTTATTTACATTACATGGGTAAGTGGGAAAATGTAATGATTGCTGTTCTACACCTATGACATTTCAATGAGCCTGGTGCAATAGTGCTTGTTTGATTGAGGAAACATATTGAACAAATGTCATACCAGCCTCACAGAAAATATTGATAGTCACAAAAAGGCTCTATACAATCAAATCACCAAACATTATGATGGATAAAATGGGGAGGTTGGTTGTTTTTCAGTCTGTCAATAAGAAGATTATTAATGGGGTCTCAGAACAACTATAAATCTTGTTACCCACCTGCAATTGGCTACACAACTACATATCAGAAAGACTCTGAGTAAACTTTCATCTTACTTTCAGTGCATTCCTTAAACAACATTAAAGTCTATTTACTCCAAAGGATTTGCTTTCAACAAGGAAACATAACACAATTTAGCACAGTCCTCTGATTCTTAATGATTCACATGCAGGGTTTTTTTGGGTCTCCAAGCAACATAACTCTGCAGGTGATGAAAGCAGCTAAACGTCTGAAGAGTAGATAATGACTGAAGAAAGACAAACACATTTGAGTTGAAATACATCAAAAAGGAAACACACACAAACTTCTCTGAAGTTTTCCAAAATATCGCTCAATGAAAATATGACTAATACCTGAAAACTGTGTGTGGACATGTGGAAGAAAGACAGACAGAGAGAATATTCAGTGCAATCAAAAATAAATCAGAAGATCTTATTTGGGGACAGACGTAACAAGAAAACAGTCAACTTTCCTCTTCAGGGGAACCTATGATTCCATTAATGTATTTGTGTAGAACAGCCCATAATTATCTATTCCATGGGACAAACCTTCAGTCCAGCCTACTCCAGACCTTAATTTTTATCCCGGGTGTATTTTACCAGCACAATTTAGGTGACTTGAACATGGCTGCACTGTAATTTCTGAGCACAAAAAAGAAAAAAGCACAAAAAGCTTCTGAAATGTGACCATCTCATTCTACATCTCTGAGTGCAACACATTGTGCTAATATTGCTTAAATATAAAAGATCTGATATAATTAACCAGGACTAGAAGCTATTAATTCTTGAATAGGCCCCAGTATTTCTCAAAAAAAATATGCCCTAGAACATGTGCTTACCGACATGTCCAAATGGGGGGGGGGGGCGGGTAGAGGTGAGGTTGCAACCGCTTTCTCTTCCTTTATGCTAGATGGGGGAGGGGAGTTCTTGAAACTTTTTTCTGTTGTAACATGGGGTCAGGGTATGGACAAGCTGGAGAACCTATGGCTTATCTATTCTTCCAGCATCATGAGGTGCCTCAGCTCAATTCACCCCCTCATTCTAATAAGGAAGAGAAAGCACTTTGCTTAGTCCAAAATCAGTCATCCTACACTAAAATGAAGCTGTATTCATGGTCAGTCAGTCAGTATTTCACATAGTTAGAAAAGTATAATTACAATTTCACATCAAATTCCAGTCTCCCTTTAACCATGACTTGCCATATGTAAATATGACTTGAGACAAAGCCTCAAGGATCTTTCACACCTTTGGGAAGGACCAGTTCCCCTCCTTCCAACCACATCCTCTCACCTACAAACACATGCACATTTAGATGGCTGTGGACACAATACTTGGATCAGTGGGGCACATCAAAAAGCATCCTCTGCGGTTTCAGACAGTCTGACTCCGCAGACCAACTATGACAAGGTGGTTATATTATATCTGCAATGCCTGTGAACACTACTGACGTGGAACATGAGAGGCCTAATAATGGCTCCAGAAATTAATCTTTTGCACCACCAAATGCAAAGCTGCTGCCAAGTGCCAGGCAGGGAAATCAGGATCTAAAATATTTTGAATAAGCTCCTAAATAACCAGAGTAAATTCTGTAGAATTTGCACAGCATTTTTTTTTTCACTTTTGCATTACTATGCAGTATGGGAAACATGATTTGGTCACAAGTACACAAATATGGAACATATGGTTTAGTAATATAATAAGTACACTGAAACCTACACACACCTGTTAATGTCTGATCCATGAAATTGGTTGCCATGAAAGTCACAGCTGGTGTAGATACAGCAGCAACCCTGGTGACTTGCGTTGGCATCAAAGGAGTCATATGAGCATCCACTCTAGAAGCAGCACCTGCATACAGACCATAAGGAAAACATTACTTTTTTTCCCCACTAGATAAATTTACTAAAAATTGACTTTGCTTGTGCAATCTGATTTCAAAATGACTTTATTCAGCTGTCGTTAAATATAACTGGGCAAATACTTCAAAGCATTTTTGTGAATAATCATTTGAATGTTTAAACTAATTTATTTTCACGCCCCTTTTTGTGTTTGCTATATTCACTGGCAGGGATGTTCATAGAGACTGAATTTTAAGCAAATATTGGAGAATAATCACAGAAGGTGATTCTGAATTAGTTAACATGGAACAGTTTTGCCAGGAAACAAATTTTCAGGGATACGCTCATCCGATCAAGAAACAGAATACACCAAGTAGCCTATTTGCCCATCATAACTAACCAACACAGCTCTATTTTCTAATGCAGATTACTCACAGTGAACTGCTTCTGGCCAAGAATTATTCTCCAAAATTATTTGGCAAATGATTTAAAACAAGAGTACATCCAAGAAAATCACAATCTTCTCAGACACTTCAAAAACTGAAAAAGTCTAAATGAATCAAATACATTTTTTATGATGAATTAGTCGCTGTCGCTCAGCTCCATTGCTAAATCTATGCTATTTAAAACTGAGCTACTTAGTCCTTAAGATACATTTCAATTTAGAGCTACTGAAAAATTCATTGTTAAAACTTAAGCATTAATTTTGAGCTATGTGTGAGTTTACTCATATAATGTCTACTCTGGCCAAGCATAATGTAGTATGACCAGATTTTTCCAGTCTTTTGCTTCACTGAATAGTATAACTGTATTTGGGGTAGTTGTCAACCCCCCTTTTTCTATATTATACAGTAGTTTGTGGGGAATATTTCTGTAGTACTTGCTCTTTATTGTAACGGGAATCCATAAAAACTCCATAAACACACTTGGAGTCTTTTGACTCTCTGATTACAAGTTTTTGAAGGAAAGTTAATAAGCAAAACTATTAACATATAAAATATTGATCATGCTGTTGACTATAACCACCATTTCACAAAATAAATTATATATCTTAAATCAGACTTATTCCTTTAAAAGTACTATTTGTGATTGTTTATACCATTGGTGGCAACTCAATCGGGTATTTCTTATTCATATCTGAGATGTAAATAAGCATATACAAAAATAATGTTAGGACTTTTACATACTTTTATAATTAGCACCACAAGAACTTTAGAACTCAGTAGTCAAAGATACATAATGCATCCTAGCCACAGACAATTGAAGAGATTTGGCATGTTCAAAGGGTCACACTTCTGGAAACAGTCAATTTAAAGTAACAGAAAGAAACCATTTATGTGTATATTCTGCTGCTTAACATACATATCCCCTAACGGATTTTATATAAGCTGCTCATGCAAAGAGAATAGAATAAACTATTCCCATTGAAAATCCAGTAAGTCTCGCCCACCTCCTCCAGCTTTCATATTCAGGAGACAACAGTGAGATCTATTATTCGACTGAGAGAAACTGCCCCAGAAAGTGGTGAAAGCCACAGTAATTGAATCACTCAGACCTTTGGGCAAACTCTGGGAATGTATTGTAGTGACCTATGGCATGCAATGAAGCCGGTGATTTGATCTGTAGGTTTTGTCCAGCTCTAATTTCTAAGGGACAGATTGTCCTCACCCACCATGGGAAGGGCTAGGATCAAGGGAAAGTCCCATTGATTTCTGTTGCACACTTTACAAAAAATGATCCTGTCACAAATGGGGTTCTGGCTCCCAATAGGGATAAACTGCCAGGGTCTCTTTTACCTGCCACAGACTCTTGAACTACTGAAGGGGTTTCTACAGCACAGAGGAGTCTGCTGAAAATGTAATGAGTGCTCAGGCTGCTTTAACTTTAATTGGTTTCCTGTTGGTGGGGAAAATGCTTAACACCCAAATTCACCTTTCAATATGGAGACTGGAGACTATGCCACTTTGAAGCAGTGAAAGATCCCCATGCACAGACCTGGGCGTGCATGGTCTGGGCCTAGAATCTCTACAAAAATACATCTCCAAGATCACTGACTAATATTTATTGTCTTTTCCAGTTAACAGGATTTAAAGTTGCTATTTTAATACATTGTTTCTTCTATTATCAATTACATTTTCCCAGGTGAACACTGGATTTTAGGCTACAAACCAGCACCATGAGGTCTATCTTGCTCACAGTTGAAAAGGATTTAAAAAACACAGTAAGTCATTTTAATGGTGCTCCATTTTTTAGAAGACTTGATCTTTTACTGCAACAGAAATGGCAAAAAATATATATAATTTATTAAAGTAATAATGCTTTATAGAACTAGAAAGGAAAAGTTCTTATAAAGGGTTTACTAAGGAACTACCTAGGAAAATGAAATAAATAAATAAATAAAAGCTCTGCCAAAAATGACAGGTACTTGAGAAAGAGGTAGGAGTTATTTAAGGCATTAAAAGGATGGGATAGATTTTTGCAGTTCAGTGAATACTGCCGGTGATGCATTTTTATAACAAACTAGTATAAACCAGGATGGCTCCAAGACATCATAACATGGCACAGGATAGAGGTAAAGTGATTTATTCATTTCAACTTTGTTTCATTTTTGTGTTGTGAAAGCAAAGCAGATACCAGTGGCACCAGCCCAGCAGGGATGCTTTCCAGCTCTAAAAGACATCAGGAATATGGAACAACCATAGACCAAATGAGAGTCCAAACGTGCTGAGAGCATTGTGGAACTGTCAGAGTTATTTAGGAGCAAGAATCTGAACCTACGGAGATGGACAGTTATTTTGGGGTCAGAAGTGATGAGTATATGCTGCTTTTGCTATTGGCATTTAAAACTACTGGTAATTACTAGTACATAGTTTTGGAATACATAGTTTCCTTTAGCCACAGGCTCAATTCCAGCCTTTCAACCTTCTGAGGTTGATACATTGCATACTGTGCATGTGTGTACTCTGCGCGAGGGACTTCAGCTTAGATCTTAAAATCTGAGGCATGTCTACTCCATGAGGACATTAATGATCTAATAGCACTTTTCCATAATAGTAGGCGTTGGGCCTGTGTTCTGTTCATGCTGTGGTGGGGTTACCTTCTGATCCAAAGTGGCTGCATGTCAATGGCACTGTTTTTTGAAATACCTTGGGAGCTAGTGCAGCAGGAAGAAAAGGGATTCTGCAAGTCTTCAATATGAAACAAAGATTTACATCAAGCAGGATTCAAACAGAAGCAAAAATACTTAAATCATGCAATACATGGAAAAGGAATGCATTATACATTAAGGTGCACTTTTATCTTTGTATTGTGGTAGCATCCAAAGGACCACATCAGAACTGGCACCACATTGTACTTAATGTTGCACAGACACACAAGTAAGTGTGAAAAACGCTAGGAGGGAAGGGCCCATATATTGTGATGGTAATAGAAATAAGATCACATGGTTGCATAGCCCATGGTGATTCAAAATCATCTGAAATAACTAAATAGAATTAGCTATCCCTGACTGCTGTACAATCTAGCCATCCATGGTTGGCTGATTTCTTGTAGGCATCAGAACAGATGTGTGTCTTGAGGGATATGAAGGATGAGAGGGCAGTGTCATTGTGGACTAATTCAGGAGGGCTTTCCAAGCACAAAGGGCAACATGAAATAAAGCAAGGAAATGCTAGCGGAAGAAGTGGTCAAATGAACAGGCTAGGCTGGAAATGTTTGGTGGAGCAAAAGGGATAGGAGAGTTGGTGATGCCATAAGACCTCTCTGGTCTGCTTAACCTCTTAACAAAAACAGCCCACAGTCTTCTTCCTGCTACTCCCATCCCTTTGGGAGGATAGTTGCCTGCTAGCAATTACCCTTGATGAGCTAGTAGGGGTTACTTGAGGGAAATGCAGAAACGTTTAATTGCCAGCAGCTGTGGGAAACACTCCAGTAAAGAAGCATTTCATTATCCCTTCTTATTTTTAGTCATTAAATCAGTGACAAAAAATTCCTACAAGACATCTGAGTAGCATGAGCATGGAATCACTTTGCAATGTACTGTAATTAATTTAATACAGATACACTCAATGGAAGTCTCCAAAATAGATCATACGGAAGAGATGAATTAGATACCATTAGATAGGCACCTTAAATAGTGTTTTACTAAATATAGAAGCCTTTGAACTTGGCAATCGCTAACAAGATATCAAACCATTCTCCAGTTCGAGGAGATTCAGGTGGTGATTACCTTTTAGGGCCTGCCTCTGCTCCTATTGAAGACAATGACAATACTTACATTAACTTTTATAAGAACAGGGTCTTAGAAGATAAAGTAGCTCTGAGGAACAACCACTGCTCACAAGGGTTTTACCATCTGAGTCTCAGGTGTCTCTGAATATACAAGAAATCTCCACAGAAGACCATTCATATAAGGTGTACCCCATCTTACAAAGCCTTCCCACCATATCCTCTGACATATTGAGTAAAATCTTGTTTCACATTTATTGGAAAACCATTTCTTAAACTATAATTTAGATCTATGCTATGCTATGATTTATACTACATAAGCATGTTTAGAAATTAAATATATAATATTTATTATAGAACAAAGGATGCCATTTTAGATTGTTTCCTTTAGCTTTGTAAAATAGTATTAATGATCACAAGGAGGAAATATTTCTCCTATCACTTTAAACAATTACAGAAACAGGTTACAATGATATTCACTCTTCTAATTTTGGTGAGGCAAGAATCAATATGTACATAATGAGTTTCTTGTTATCTCCCTTAGGAAGGAATAGACAGGGAAGGCTAGATAACTAGTTTGAATTTATTGAAAAGGGTCATTTTCAAGATAATGACAAGCTTCATTTTGAAAGTTAGAGGGGAAATGTCATGCTTTGTTCTCTCATATTATCAACATTTTAATATTTCCCTATAATTTCCAGGCAGACTCTAGGAGCCAAATTCCCTGAAAGCCCATACTACACTATACTGCTGGGTTATTCTCTAGTGGCAGACCATATTCCA